TATAATAGAAGCGATTATTCATGTGTCGCTCGCATTTGTTAAAGGAATCTTCCGCGGAAAAAGCTCCGCCTCCATTACCACAGAAAAACGATACCTTAGGCCCCTAGCCTCATGAGCATAGCAAAAAGAACGGAACATAAGCGTTAGTTTCGATAATACTAATCCTACACACAAGACAAAATGATCACTCTTTCTTCCAGGAAGCACGGGGGTGAGGGTAGAATCATGGGAGAACGTCGCACTGTGCTCGAACTTGTGCGTCCTGCTTTGTCTACCCTTCATTAAGAAGCCACAGCTGAAATTAGCTGGAAGCGAATGTAAAACCGGGTCTGTTAACATGACTTCCATTTCAGGCGGACAGTTGATGCATTTCGGCCATCGCGCTCTATGGCGGCTCTCGTCGCGCTGCAGTAGGGCGTTTCGCCGCGCGGTGTGGGTGTCACATGCTTCACCACATGATTTGCCCTCGGAATCGGCTTCCGTATGCTAGTATGGTGAATCCTGATTCCTTACTGCGAGCGGATGTGCTCTCTAATGAGGCGAAGCGGAAGGTAAGTGCAACAATGTTGAGTAAGTAGTCCAATGTTATGGTTTTTATTCGCTTCCAAGGAAAAAGTGAGGAGATTCATCGTTATAGTGGTATGGTGCCCTCTTCAAACATTGTTATTGTATGTGGCATAACAATTGCAGGTCCCAGTACGGTGTACACTGGCTATTTGGAGTCCTGCTTTAATTCTGGGATGTGGGTCTTTGAAGCGAGTTGCGCTATTGGTCTTACAAGTTGCTTAACGAAGAACTAATTGTGGGAAGACTATTGGGCAAGACAGCAATAATAAGTAAACTAACGGGAATAAAGCAGGTTGTAGTGGTGGTCTGGTTCCGGTTTTACCTGCAGTTTCTGGACGAGTTTCTTACATTAATTGGTACGGGGGCGTCGTTTTATATGCGATGCCCCGCAGAGTCCTGAAAAATTGTTCAGAGGAAGTCACCTCGAGTCCTTAATGATCCTCTGGAGGATCCTTGGCTAACTTAGTTGGGGGGGGGCACGCGGCGGCGCGGCGTTCTGTTCGTCTGCTCCTCCAAGACTTAGTCCCGATGGCGCGTATTTCGAAACCGCCACGTGATAACGAAATAGTAACTTAGGGGACTAACAAGGGAGGTCTTTCAGGGCAAGGTGCGCTTTTTGGAAACGGTTTAGTACATGTTGTAGGGACGCATGTATGGACCACAAAACCATGTTTCGTTTTCGCTGAACGGTTTTAGTAGTACCAAAAAAGTGGTGAATAATACCCTTGATGGTTCAATCCCCCGCGGCGACTAAATTTTGCAATCAAGGTTGGCGGCCACTTGTTGGCTTCAAAATGGTCCTGACGATGAATTTGACATCTGATTTTGATATTTAGCGCGATTTGGCACCAAACCGTAGGCGCCAACCCAAATGCAAAATTTAGTCGCCACGGGGGATCGAACCCTTAACAGTACCTTATGCTTTTTTTTGGTACTGCTAAACCGTTCAGCGAAAATGAAACATGGTTTTGCGTTCCCTACATGCGTCCCTACAATATGCACAAAACCGTTTTGAAAAAGCGCACCTTGCCCTGAAAGACCTCCCTTGTAAGCATTGGAGGAGCTGACGAGCAGAGCACCGCGCCGCCGCGTGCCCCCCCCCAAATAAGTTAGCTAGGGATCCTTGTTGTGACTTCTGATTCAATGTTTTTTGTGAGCTAGCGCTGATCTGTATTTTTTAGGGCCCAGCTGATTGTATGGGACCGTTCTGGTCGCCATCCCGTTGATCCAGGAATTGAGTCTGCCGCAGAAATGCTTAGGGGTTTGGAAATTGGCAACAAGTACAGTATAGAAAAGGTTTTTTTGTTGCCATGACATGTCCTGGCTGGTATTCCACTGCTTAATCTTACATGCTCTTTTGACACGGTTTCTATGACAGAACACTAACCGCCGTAAGCCTGTCTTGTATGTATGGGCAAGCAGAGGAAAATGTGCTCCTTATGCTGTGCCGAGGTAGTATAATTTTGTTTTTTCTATTTATTCAGCTTTCTATTTTGAAGTTGGGTTAAGGATCATTATTCTCAACCGGACCTTTACCAGGAAGACGTGAGCGCTCGTCCAGCCGTCAGCCTCAGTTAGGTTGATGTGAATGATGTAGTTTCATTAGAATGGGCAAGCTTGAGGAGAAGTTGGGGTAAGGTTCTCCTGAAGCTGGCAGAACTTTCCAATTTACCAAATTCCAAAGGAGTACCAATTTCATGAGCCTGGAATAGGATTTCAGGGCGCATTCGTCGTTGGTCGTGTGATCGTAACAATCGCATAGGCTGCGGTCGCATAGGATAAGACGTGGTGAGCTAATGCAATCCCAAATGGACGTGAATGCGCGTCACGGTATTTCGAAACTTCGATTGTTCGAGTATGGAGTCTTAGATATCGATCGTCCGATGCTGTCATAATATCGGGCGACCGACTATGAACGCGCCCTCATATGGTATAGCAATGGAAGCATCGTCTTCGAAATTGCCGGCATATCGTGACTGCACATTCAAATTGGCGAGTACTTATTAATCTGGTAAACCTGTGACATCAAGTCAGAGATCCTTCCAACATTAACAAGTTTAGCCATATCAAAGGAGTTTTTGAAGATTTTCATCCAAAAAGTCAGCCCACTACTCTGCGGTGCTCGGTTTCTGTCCTTTCATCTTTCATGAGTTGCATTAACTGCAACGCAAATTTCGCAATACTTACAGAAGGATCCGCCCAACGAAAAATGCTGACGATTCCTTACTCGGTAATGCAACAAGTGCGGCTTCGAGGCTCTGTCGATCCTGCTAGCCTTAAGTTGTGCTTGATGAGGTCAGCCGTTGGATTGCGGTGTTTCCTTTTTCGTGCTTTATATGCCACAAATTTATAGTTCACGTGGAGTGAGTAATCTGGTAGATGGGAGTTGTTCAGATAAAGTTAGAATGTCCTTTCCTTTGTCCCTATACGTCTATTTCTCATTTTTCTCTTCTCATTTTTCTTCTTTTTCACTTTCTTCTTAAACCGATCTAATCCTAATCCGGTTCAGAAGAGGGACATGCAAGAGTTCTTCGATTGGTCTGATGAATAAACTGTTAATATATCTTTCAGATCCGCAACGGCTAGTGAAGTTCCTCATCGAAGAAGAAATATATTTTTCATGAGAAGTTACTGTCCTGAACTGAGTCTCTATACTGAATGAACAAGAGCCTATGGAGACGGTGTTTCTTCATGTACATGTGTATAATATCAGAGAAATGAAAGAACATTCATATTGCCATCGTGTTCGACGTTTGCTGTGGGATGTTGTACAGGAGTGATACTGTATCGCAGATTTGCTACATTTGAAAGTGGTGTGCCGACGTGCGCGATAAGTTTCGTCGCCACTATCCCACTTTGAAAGTAGCGAATTGTGAACCCAGTTTGGAAATGAATCTTTAGAATACGCCCAACTGTTAGTATTGGGAGCCGCGCGCACGCTCTACATGTCCTTACTTCATTCGTGCAACATGACACGGTATTTTTCGTAACGAAGATTCTGCTGCCGCTGACATGTTAATAGTTTACGAATGGGGCTTAGGAATTTTCTTCGCAGGTGTAAAAGGCCAGGGTGTGCGACTTCAAACCATCTCGCTGGAAGAGGCAGGGCGTACCCTTCCCTTCAAAAAGCCAGAAGTGTCGGGTACAGACAACAGGACATACACCACAAGTGACGACGGCTTCCAGAAAATGCGAATGTTTTTTGCCAATGAAATGATTAACCTGTTACAGTTGTATTCGATCAGTTGACAGTAATTACAACTATCATTTACTAAAAATCAGCTATCACTATGAACCACTACTAACCAGATTTACTTGGAGGCCGTCGTCAGTTGTGGTGTTTGGTCTGCACCCCACAATTTCTGAAGGGGGGTAAGGAGTGAAGGAGCGACTCGTAGTGATGAGTGTGGTCCACGGACAACTTGAACTCAGCCCTTTAAACCGCCTCGATTTGACGCTCTCGCCTGCGCTCTCTCGCTTAACCAGCGCTTTATGATTACTGTGTTATCTTATGTATTCAAACTTTGCCACAATATAATTGGCTCATCCACTACGGAGTCCCTCCTCCCTTCAAGGCTTAGTCCTAGAGCTCTCACCTTCTTGGTTGGATTTGAAGCCGAGCCAGGCACCGTTCTCTAATCGTCTGTGCTCTGGCCTTTCTCGGCAGAGAACATAGGGGAGAGTTCAAGTAGTCACGTAATCGACTCAATAGACGCGCTGCGTTGGGCAGGCAACCGCGCTACTGCCAGGAAAATATGCTTGGTCGAAGTAGACATACGCATTGAGACCTACACACGTTGGGTGATTTTGACTTGTTTTTGTTTGTTAACTGCTGTTTTGGCCGCAGTTCGCCTTGCGAATGTTTCACAAGAATGCTGGGTTGTGAACAAAACTTTCGCCCCAGGCGGGACTAGAACCCGCACCTCTCGCTTTCCGGGCAAGTGCGCTACCAGTTACGCTACCGGGGCACCATTTCATCCCAACTCATAGAAATGCCAAGCTTTCTCAAAACGGTTTTTTGCATGATATAGGGGTACATGCATGGAACACTGAACTATAGTTCATTTTTCCTGAGCGGCCCTTCTGAATACCAAAAAAGGGGTTATGAAGTGGTCCGTGGTTCGAATCCTCACAGTGACAATTTTTTTGCATTTTATGTTCGCGCTCCAAAGTTTACGAAAAAGGATGTCAGCGTGAATAGCAGATGTCATATCTATAACTAGGAGTAACAGCAACCTTCATACGTAGATTTTGACTAAAAAATCTGGTGGAGAAAGTTGCGATACCAAAACGGCGCCGTCGTAGCGCCCAATGGCGTCATAGCGAATTCAAATGACGTTTACGCTAAAAACTAATAGAATATTCGTAATCAGGACGCCGAATAACCCCTAACCCGAAAGTTTCAGGGAAAAATTAAGATTTCGTCCCAACTTCGAACAGTTGGACCATGGGTAGATAGATCACTAGCCCGTCAGGCTCATTGGTAGATAATTTGGAGGCGACCTCCTTGTCATCTTTCACGGAATGCGAAATCCTTTCCCGTAATAGACAATGGTAGACACTCAAGCCGACGATTGGCGAGAAGTCACCAATGACTATGTCATTAGGTTCTCCTCCATTGTCAAACAGTGGCAGGTTGGGCTTCTGGTCATACTTCTGGCTGGGTCTACTGCCGATAGCTAGATCAGCTGCAAAAACGCAAAGTTGTGTGAGACTTGCCCTGCGAGGGAGAACCTCGGTTTCCGTGGTAATCACTAGGACGGACCCCTCCTATTCCACGTTAGCCCTTCTCCAAGCCTTCCGGGGGCAATTTGTTTATGAATTATAAAATTTCTATCGATGCACACACAAGTTCGTGAGAGACCAATACGAATTCGCAGTCGTAGGATCTCAAAACGAACATAAAACCGCATTATATGCATGCGCAGGAGTGCACGATCACAGGAAAATGACAATAGAAAAAAAGCAAAACTTTGGCACTGTGGGGAGTCGAACCATCAACACCGCCCTTTCCCTTCCGATTCACAGACCGCACCACTAACCACTAGGCCATCCGACTACCGCTGATAGCTTCGCTTCATACGGCGCTGATGAATGTTCCACAATAGTTTCAATACATGCCAAGGAGATCGTTTTATTTTTGACCGAATTCCGCACTGTTTTCAATGTACAATTCATGAGAACCTTTTGATATGACACTGGTCAACGCTGTGTGCGATGTACGTCACAAAAAGCGTTAGAACGGCAGTTCCTTTTCTTCGCTCCTTTTTTGGTATTCAGAGGGCCGCTCAGGAAAAATGAACTACAGTTTGGTGTTCCATGCATGTGTCCCTATATCATGCAAAAAACCGTTTTGAAAAGCTTGGCATTTCCTGAAAGACCTCCCTGGTAAGCTTCTCATGGTATACGTATCATATCTAGTCCCGCCTGGTCCGAAAGTTTTGTTCACAACCCAGCATACTTGTGAAACTCTTGGGTGTGTTTTTGGACGCTATCCTTAACAAGGTGAATATCAGTCGAGGAAATCCTCGACAGGAGGGGTCGTATTTGTCAGGGTGGGTCATGGGGGTCGTACTCATTGGGGTCAGTAACGTCAGATAGGAGAGAGAGGGTGTAGCGCAGCAGAAAACAAGGATATGTGAGAAAACATGAGATAAAATATTCTTTGCAGGTCCAGTCGCTCCATTCCTTTACCTTTATGAGAAGGACGTATTTGAAAGCAGTACAAGGAATGAAAGTGCATCTCCGCAATGTGTACACGTGCTGTAGAGGCACCTCCTTTATCTAGGCCCGCTCTCTCGCCCTTAATACCTCGTTGAAAATGAGGCAGTTGTTAGGGAGCTGTCGCAAACCGGCAAGAGTTCTGGAAAGACCATGGGCGAATGAAGCTGTTCCTTAGGTTATAGGAGTTACGAAATGTGTTTACTACAATACAGTTTCTGTCAACAGGTCATCATCATATGTATAACACCTTTCAATAGATTCTACAACTTGAGTGGAGGTCGGATGCATGGCCTATACTGAGACAAATCGGATGATGACGATTGCCCTTTTCTTGTGCTTATGTTGGGAGAATGTATTCTAGACACATTTCGAGCGTTGCCAACGAATTACACTTGCAATGGTGAAGAAGGGAGCGGCTTTTTGAGCGGCCGAGAATCATCCTCGATAGATCCTCGACGCAAATATCTCCTCAACTAGAAATGTAGAAGGAAGCTAAACATACTGTTAGAAAGCGCAAACCTTCCGCTTTCCAAAACTGTCTTCTTTTCCAAGATCTTGCGAAATTAGAGAGATATTGCCTTTTAAGTGGCAAAAACTCGCATGAAAAATTCAGCATCCTCGACGCTCCCTCGACAAAATTTGAGAGACCCTATCTCTTCGAGTGTAAAGCTTTTAGATCAATTTCAATATTGCCCGGTAGTAGCAAATCCAGCTCTATCTAACCCTACCACATACTGCTCCAAAGGTTATGAATGGGGGAATGGAACCTTTTCATCGAGAGTGTAGATTTCGACGGTTTCGAGCGGGGTTCGGCAAATCTGACCCACGGATAAACCGCGCTGCAACTGAATGCTTTGCTGTACATTGATGGAACTCGCTTATTCACATCAAATCAAAGTTAGAGGGGTCGTATCAAGATCCCGATCTGAGGGGGGGGTCGTACTGATCTGACCACGTCCTCGACACGATTTTCACCCTGATTCTCAAATCTGCTTTCCAAATCTGTCAATCGATTTTCTGAACAGAGTTATGACGCAAAGCAGAGCAGCGGTGGTGTCCGGACTCACGGGCAAGGGGGAGACGTCGTAGGATCGAATTCCTGACGGTTGATTTGGATACAAATTTGCCTCTAGGGGTTTTGTCTTCAGGACACGATCTCACACCTGTCTCTTGCAAAACGTCTCT